TTGTAATATTTTTATGTTACCAAAGTCAAAAATTTTTGGTATTATATTTTTAATATATATAACATTACTTGGAAATAACTAAAATAATAAAACATTAATAATCTAAAAATAGAAAAATAAATCTCGAAAAAGGAAAAACTTAAAAAACAAAACGAGGAAACTTCATGAATTCACCTGCTGGAGAGAGACGTAGAAATAATAAAAAGACACAACAACCGAGACAACAATGTTATGCTATTTATTTCAAACCAAGCGTTCCACAACCTGTTCCAAAAGATCAATTTCAACCATTTAATGAAAAGAAGTATCAAGAGTTCTCTAAGCCAACAAGAAGACCAGTGTCCCCTCTTCCACCACATTATTTCACTTTAAATTAACAAAAATTCCAAAAGAAATAAAAAAAAAATACATTAATTAAACTAATTTTCATCTTATTAAAACAGAACATCGTTTGAGCACTCAAAGAAGAAGGTTAATTTAGTTGTTATTGAACTATATTATTTGTTCAAGGTATTTTACTCTAATTTAATGTAATGACTCAAATTATCTAAAAGAATTTTGAGTTATGTAATTGAAATAAAAGACTGAAATTAAGGAAAAATCAATACTTAGGTGCTATTTAATTGTCAGTGAAGGAGATAAAATATTTGTTAATTTAAGGGGTTATAATCAAAAGATTACATAATCAGGATGAATGTTCTTAAAATTTTATATGACAAATACTCATTATAAAACTAATTTCAATAATATAGATTTAGAATAGTTGTATTAATCACAAAATTTATTAAGAATATTAATTTAAAAATGAATTATAACCATTTGAAGAACAAAAAGTATATTATAGATATAATAAACTATTATTAACATTTAAATAGAATAATTATAATAAAATATATAGAATATATTCTATTAAAGATGAAAAATTCATTTTTAATAATGAAAAGAGGTAAAAAAAAAGAATGTGGTAGTTTTGAGGTAAAGTATTGATAATTACAGCATTAAAGTTATTAGTCGAAAAAATATAATAGGAAACGTCTTTAAAACAATTGTATGTAAAAGAATGTCTAATGAATCTGACACAACCATTATTTTTGTAAGAAAATTTTCATTACTAATTTAGATTCAATCAAAAACTAAATATCCATTTATTAAGATGTATAACATTTTATTATTTATAACTGAGTCTTATAAAGAACAAAAGAGTTTTTTATAAATTTATTAATTAAGAAAACTATTTTCTTATCAAAACAATTGAGTAAATAAAAATTTATCCATAGTTATTTTGTATTTGTCAAACTACCAAAATAACTTGTTCATATATCCAACTTTATATAGTGTTGTTTTTTATAACTAGATTTTCTTTACTTGGTAGATTTTTTTGAGAAGAAAATGTATATAAAAACTAAAATTTCATCATAAACCATTCTTATATTAGTTGTAATGAATAAAATTTTAAATGTCATATTTCAGATTGGAGGAGATATTATTTATCTTATATTTACAGGAGCTATTGCTGCAGTATTTACTTTTATTGATGGATTCCATATGGAAGTTCCAGGAGGAGAGAATAATGTAAATGTATTATATCCTTACCGAGACTCTACGTTTAGTGACCTTGTTGCTGCTATTGTTATTTATGTTTCTGCTATTATGATAATATTTGCATTCCAAATAAAAAGATTAAGTTTAAGACATTTTATATTTACTTATATTGGATTAGGTGCTTCAGTGACTACATGGTTAATGTTTGTTCAAGGTGGAAAAATATATGCTGGTAGACCACGTCCTAATATGTATGCTTTAGTTGCACAAGGAAAAGAAAAAGATGCTTGGAAGAGTTTCCCATCTGGACATTCTGCTGCATCATTTTGTGGATACACTTATCTTTCATTATACATTGCAGGTGAGTTACGTATATTTATTGACAGACCAGAGTTATGGAGAAGTTTGTTTATATAAGAAAAAATAAAAGTCTTATTTATTTATGAATAGTGATTCCAGTGATTACCCCATTACTTATTGCAGGAATTATTGTGTTAACTAGAACAAGAGATTATTACCATAACTTCAGTGATGTTCTTGCAGGTTCGATTATTGGTATTTTTTCTGCTTGTATAGGGTATTTTTCAAAATTTGAAAGTCTTTTTAGTCCAAAGGCAGGTGAAATAAGATTTACTTGTCGTGGTCATAAAAAGAATAATGAAGATATATCAGATGAAGAGATGACCGAAATGTCATAACAATTCAATCCTTTGATTTAATTTTTTTGTGATTTTTTTTAATTTATCAATAATAAATTATTAATATTTAATTATAAAGTTATTATTTATTAAAAATAAAAAATTTAATAATACAAGAAATTAAAAATATAATAAAATAAAGAAAAGTTTAAAAAAAGTTTTGATAATAGAAGAAATAATTAAAAAACTAAAAAAGTTAATGAACGATCCAATTCATAAAATTCCTGAAGATAATAAAATTAATGCTATGATTGATATGATTCGTGAGGGTAATTTTAAAACAATGTTGAGAGATGTTGATAAACAATTGAAGAAAAAACCAAATAATCAATTTTGGAAAGCAATGAAAGCATATGGATTAGCATATACAGGACAATTAGAAAAAGCTGATGAGATCAATAACTCTTTAATAAAAGAAGAAGTTATTACACCAATAACAATGAATTGGATATTATATGGATATAGAGCAAGTAAAAATATAGATGGGTATATTCAAGCAGTTAAAATTTTTTATGAGAAAGATAAAAATAATGATGATAGAATTAAAGATCGTTTCTTTATTGCACAAATCGAAAATGATTATTCATTACAACAAACACTTATTAGTGAATTAATAAAAA